GAGTAGAGAGAGAGAGAGAGAGAGAGAGAGAGAGATTCCAATAGTAAATGGGCTTGTGGACAGAATGGGATATTTGTGGAACAGTTACAGAGGAATCTAGCTCATAAAGTATGCATCATAGACAAATCTCAAATAACTCTATGCATGCAAGTGCAAGCACAGTCTATTTTCATTTCACATTGAGAGAGCATCCCTCAGTTTCTTTAACGAAATCCATGATAAGCTTAGCTGCCTGACTTGGCTTCTCCACGTGAGGAATGTGGCCACAATTGGACATTAGATAAAGAACAGATTCTTGTATTTCATCATGCAATGTCTGCAAAAATTGACACTTGGTTAGAGATTTTATCCAACTCGACCATCTTTAGTGAGAAATGCTGCTGTTTCCTTCTGAGCATTTCTTATTGGAATCCATCAGACCCATGAACCTCTCTCTCTCTCTCTGTATGTAGGAGGAGTGAACTCACCTGTGCAAGCTTGCTGCTGATAATATTGTCCTTCTCCCCCCAAATAATAAGAGTCCTCTGTTTCAGCTGTGGGATAAGACTGTTGCATAAGCATTAGCAATCCAAAGTGAAATGTAAAAAGTATTAAGAATTCTAAGGGTAATGTATCTCCTTCCTTCTCCAACTGCTTCTCCTATCCAAGATTTCTTTCTGCTGTAAAGGCCCAGAACCCCACCTTCTCTCTATACATCCAAGTTGGGGACTTTTTGGAAAGAGAATCAAAGAACAGAGAAAGAGAGAGAGAGAGAGAGAGAGAGAGAGAGAGAGAGAGAGAGAGAGAGTGATGCTTCTTTGCCTCACCATGATGTATAGTTCCCACATGCACTATTTGACCATGAGAACAAAAGCTTAGATACTTTTAATCTAGAACTCAATCCCACACAGAGTTGAGCAATGCAGAAAAAGTACACTTTATCCAAAAAGAAAACATGGATGAGAAACTATGGGCAATCAACTTTCCCTTCCCTTGCCAAACAAAAGAAGGAAAAAGAAAGAAGACAAATATTATAAAAGGAAAAATGATTTTTGAATGTTCAAGAACTATAAACAAGTCTATACAAACATAAAATACTTGGAAGATTCTATGCTCCCATAGGTGCAAATTGTATATTTGCTCCCTTGGATAAAGCCCTAGCAAGGAATTATTTTCTGGACCCTAAATTGTGGAGATGTGACCTACTCAACCTAATGACCGGCCTAAAAGAAATTCCATAATGCACTCTACAAGTGAGTGGAAGACAAATTACACCCTAGGATTGAGCACAAAAATTTTCAAAGTCAAATCTAGTCATATAAGAGCTCAAAATCTTTTTTTTTTTTTTTCAAAATTATCCATCTAGTGATTCTAAAGTGGATCCCTATTTTCATATCAAGAAAATCTTTTTGAGTTGGCCTTTTGCCCAAGGCAGCAAAAGTACAACTTCCTCAATGTGCTCCCGTGGGAGCATAATACACTCTTTCTGTAAGACAAATCTAAGAGTCTTAAAAAGAATAAAAAGGAACAAGGTTTACTGGTCACATATATAGAAGAACATAGGCAAGTTTGAAATGATAGACATAAGTGTAATAAATAAAAAGATTGGGCCCACTAGTACATCTGGTAAAGAGCCTAGGATATACAAGTCCTCCAGATTACATGAAAGCCATTATCACGAGGCTCATCACCAACCAATCAATCGTTAAATGGTGATAGTGAGGGGGTGTAACCCACCATTGGAGTCGCACCATGTTCTGCCAGGTCCCACTTTACCTCCATCATGGATAGGATGTTGGTGATCCTCATGACTACGGAATTCAAAATGAACTTTCCATGGTCATAAAAAAAATATAGTATATTCCCCCAACGTCTAACGGCTCTATCTTTAATTTAGCTGATGGGCGGTCATATTTCCTAATATACAGACCAAAAGGAAAATAAAAAACAAAATCTATCCATAACTTTAGAGTCAAATTGAAAGATTCTTTCCATAAGAAATACAATTTAGAAGGAATATTAAGTATATACCAAAATACAATGGAGTATATTATACAGTACTCCGAAGGGGCATGCACCTTCCTCATAATAGACTTTGCAGATTACCATAGTGCTGGATTGGGGCACTTGGGTCGGTGGTTAAGGAGGTAAGACTGCAATTTAATATCAATGGTTCCAATGCCAGTGTTTACCAACCCAAAATAGAGATTAACTGTAGTGTTACCCACTGGGAACTCACCCTGCTACAGTTAATCTCCACTGTCATAATTCGGAAAAGTTGATGGATGCCCCTTTGGAGTACCTTGTAAAATTCTCCATTGAATTGTGGTATCTTTTGCACAAAATAAATAAATAAATAGACTACCTGCTTTATCTGGGCAACAACATTGTAGCCCCCACTAAGCATAAAATCAAGGGTTGCCTCTTTCCACCAAGGAAAGAGGCAGTGTAGGCAACCGATCTAAAATAGAGAAAAAAAATCAATGAACGAAAAAGGAAAGTTAGTGATGTAGGTTGTCCAATAGATGGAACTTGAAATTAAATGTGATCTTGATGGGCAGTTGAAGTATACATGCAATCTGGTTTCATTTTGTAAGAGCAAATGAAGCTATAGATATCAATGCTATACTAACAAAATCATAAATGGAGTATAAAATCCGTGTGTTTATTCATTTATTCATTTATATTGAGTATACACAGACGGGTTTAGAATGGAAGAGCCACAGCTTCTGAAACATGCTGAGAAAATATTATCCCCAATTAGCCATAAAATCACCTGTCAAGGGCTGCCCTCAACTTTATCTCATGAAGCTTATAGAGTGTTTTTTTTTAATTTTATTTTAAATTTTTTGAGGCAAATGAATATTACTTGCATAATTAGTTTCTCAGTCATTTAACATGTAGTAGATGACTAATAGATCAATGTATTATTTTTGGGAAATTACATATAATGCCCTACATTAAAGTTTCTACAGAAAGGATTCCCTCCACTAGTTTTGTTATTACACCCAATACCTTGTCATTGGTTTTAGGCCATTTTATATAAAAATGTCCCTCACAACCAAAACGCATAAAAATTAGTTTAAAGCCCGTTTATGGTCTTACTTTTTTCCCAAGGTCAGTGCGGAACTAACCTCGGTTCATAAAACATAAAACATAAAAAACACTTTAAACTAATTTTCACGTGTTTGACTGTGAGACACATTTTTGTCTAAACTGTTCCAACAAATTCACCATTGGGGGTTCGATGCAAAGGAAAACACTATCAAAGTATTGGGCATACCAACAAAATTAGTGGGGATTCTATGTGTAGAAACTTTAGTATATGAGGGTTTATGTCAATTTCCCTCTTTTTGTTAGAAGTTTGAGGAATATGGCATCCCTTTCATCTTTTTCCATAATTTTCATGACCGTGTATAGTTTTCTCCATGGTCCCCTAGAGTCAATGGGTCTGAAGTTGTCGCACCCTAAGTTTTATGACACTAAAATTCCCGAGATGTGACAGTCTATTAAAAAAAAAAAAATTGTTTGTGGTAGAGAGGCTAGGATTCAAATTTGTTTTGTTCTTTAAGAATAGACTGTCCCATCTCAAGAATTTTAGTGTTATAAAACTTGGGGTGTGACACAAGAGCTGGTGGAGTCCATTCAAAATTTTGGGCATTCAAACTATGCTCTAGCCTATGAAACTCTTTCATGGCCTAACTTCAACGTTATGTGATTTAAGTTTAAAAATTCAGCCACTATACCTATCACAAAAAAGAGTCAGGTATTATGATCCAGTGAATTAATTCGAAGGTTGATGTACTATTCGCTTTGCAATGGTCGAGTAAGTATGGTGAACATATGGTGAAAGCATTATAAAAGCATACAGAGTGCAAGCTAGAACCAATTTCTTCACTTTGATCGTTAGGTGCAGTTCTTTGAAATGAGAGAAGAACTCCACTTACTCTAGTCCAGTCCAAGAGAGAGGACCATGGTACTTTCTTAAAAATCAATGAATTTGCATATAGCCGCAAGGGGGTGCTCTTCAATATGGAAACCTGATGCAAGACTTAGAAAAAATTAACCACAAAATTAACAACGTGAGATCAATTTTCATTTAAGGTAAGATGACAATAAATGTCCCCGATGGAAAGGTAGGGAAACATCAAAATTTTCTTTCACGATAGTGAAGCATCCTAGAAGATTGTGCATACAAGACACATCTATAATGATAACAAAGCACCAAAAATAAAGCAACTAACCGCAGCATATGCTACCATCCTTGGTAGCTTGATCAAATGTCCTACGCCTTCTGCATAAACACTCGCATCTATCAACACCAAATTTGAGACCTGTGCGAATGCAAAAATTTCAGCAACTCCGGAAAAGCATGCCATGAATGGAATATGACAGAAAGATCACTTTTACCAGTTCAAAGGTAAAAAACATTTCCATGTCATAATGGGAGTTAAACCCTATTTACAGGAAGCACTTCTTGATAAAAATAAGGAACCTGTTTTGGTGTAAGGCACAAAAAATTTCAAAGGAATGGAGAACAATTATATATTTCAAGATATAAATAGATATCTAGTATATAAATACACGCACCCACGATTGGTTACAAAAAAATCAATCATCAATGGAAGAAAAATGGAAAAAAATAGTTGGCTAAGGAAGCAAGGCAACGTTTATGTTACATGTGCCGCATTAAAATGGAATGGCCACAAACAGTACAATAGGCGCATGATGCATGTTACTCACAGCTTCTGGATGGTTAATGGCAAAGTCAATTGCAACAGCAGCTCCAAGGCTTGGGCCCACTAGAACCATGGGTCTTTTAATATATGACTTCCAAAACTGCATTATAGAGTTTCAAAGTTCAAACTAATTAAGCTTATTGAATGCCCAAAGGCAACCATTGATGAATGATGACACCATATGATAAATAATGATCCATTGAACCCCCCTCCCCCAAGTCCAAGTCCAAGTCCATGAGAGAGAAAAACAAAAAACAAATTGAATCAGTGAAATAAGATCATGTGACACAATTATTTCCATGCTGCTATGCTAATTGGATTGATAGTCTAATCTAAGACTGAATGTAAAATACCAAGTTGTCCACTGGAAATCACTAACAGAATGCTGGAAAACGATAATTACTACAGAAGCCAAGCATTCATAACTTTCAAAATGTGCTAGCTGGGCATGAAATATGGATGTAACAATACGTCATTATATGAGCTACATAGAGACTTCAATAGTTTCTTAGGATCCCCCACTCTCATTACATTAATAGCCATCATGAGTAACATGATATGGTATGGAGTATATCGTTAGCACAGATTTGGCCTTAAAACACCAACACATCCATACCAAGCCATCTTTTAGAATTTGTGTTTTGCAAACATTCATCTAATGTGCAAATAAGCAGTTTTGCTCATCAGAGTGAAGCCCTCAGAACTACTGAGAGAAAGTTGATTTGAGACCTTGAGCACTGTTCATAAAACCAACCGGGTCAACCAGGTTACTTGGAACCAGCCACTGGCCGTGGCCGGTTTTGGCCGTCTAGGGTGGTCAGCTAGTTGACCACCCTAACTTAAAAACAATTTAAAAAAATCCAAAAAAAAATAAGAACTTCGTTTGCAATAAGTTTTTTAATGTTTTCTATTGTTTTGGACAGATTGGGTAGTATTTTGGACAAATATTTATTTTTACATTTTCCCATCGTTTTTGGATTATTTCTAAAATGCCATGGGCACAGTGATTTATTAAAATCCATTTTTTCACTACTTTAATCGCATTTGGGTGTATTTGTTTAATTATAATTTAAACAAACTTTTCATATTTTTTGGGATTTTTTGAGATTTGTTTTAGATTTGCTTTTTACCCTTTTTAGCCCTGTTGGGACCTGCCCCGTTAGGACCTGTTACTAGGACTGGTTCCAGGTTACTCGGACCTGGCCAATGGCCGGGTTCCAAGTCTGGCTAGTGCAATCGAACATGTCCTCAAGCAAGAGCCACTAAGGTTAAGCCCAAGACTTTGATTGTATGTTGGATCATTTCTTAAGGCTTGCCCAATCAGCACTCAACCTTGCTCCCCAGTATGAAGCATTTTTGTAAGACATGGGGACAATTATTTTGGTACCTGCGGTTCCTTAAAATCTTAGGGGTAGGGGGATTGGGTTGTTTTGTCTTTTGGGCAGGTGTATAGATTGAGGTTGTTGCCTCCTCCTCCATCTGAGGAATTCATTTCAAGATTACAAGTGTTGTGCTCCTATTCCCGCTGTGTCTTCAAAGTGCAGGGATTGTTAAGGACAGCTTAAAGAATTTTGACATTCTCTTGGGTTTGTTCAGGTCTGTTTCAGCAGCTAATCTCTTAACTTGCGCATCATTTGGACCACTACACAAAAAAAAGTCACTTCTGATGGAGATTTTCCCTGTTGCAACCCTAAGGGCCAAATGGGATGGCCAAAACAAAAAATTTTCAGCGGGACCTTCTCAAGTTTAGATTCAACTTGTGGTCAGGTTCAGAATTATGATGACTTCTTGCAGTCTTGCTCACAAGAAGCTCCAATGGAATTTAAGTAGACACAAAATTATTCAAAAAAGATCGCATGTTTTAAAATTCAAGTAGCAAATTTAAGATGGGGATGATTATGAAGGCAACTTGATGAGCTTAGATGCACCGCTACCAAGTAAGATATTTATGAGCGAAGCGTAGTCACAAAAAACTAGAACTTGATGCAAATTGAAACAGACAGTAAAACCAATCACTGTAAGGTATAAATCCAACCTCTAGGATGCTAGAGGCATAGCATGATGAACCCAAAATATTTAAAAGGTAGCCATAATACACACGACATTCCCAAACAAGGAGGCTGCATCAAGTCTCCAAAGTTTCAAGAATTGGTATGTTTGGAGTTTCACTCTTGTGACTGAGAGGTTTCCCATTAAACCCTACAAGTCATTGCTTTTAATTTTTATGTTTTATTTTTTATTGAGACTATATATGTCACTGTAGTAAGCACGAGAGAAATTTGTAAACAAAATCAATGGTGCTTATTTTCTTAGAATTCTGATGCCATATAAAATGCCAACCTCTATTGCAATGTAAATATTACTATCGAAATGGGTTTAGCATAATGTAGCACAATAAATGGAACAAGAAAGAGAAAACCTTAGGGTAAGTGTTGGCAATAGAACAGATATAAGTAAACCAAGATACCTGATATAAATGTTCGCGCTTTGATGCCACGTTGCACGATGGCAACTTTTCTGTTACAAGCAAACCAACAAACAAGATAATCCATGATCTAAATGATAATATTTCAACCACCAAGGTCTGTCAGAAGACTTGTCCTACTTTATCATCTCAACATTTCAATTTTGCCTTCCAAACTCTAATTTTAGCAAGTTACGTTATAAGAAGCAAAGAATATAATCCCAACAAAGATGTAAAAGGATGTACCTAAATCAGAGAAGCCCCAGCCAAGGATGTCCACCGCCCATGTCTCAAAGAGAGCATCCTCTAGCAGAGGATAAGCATATCTCCACTCTAAGCAAGAGCTGAAGAGTCCAAAAAATAATATGGTTGAATTGTAAAAAACAGAGGAATTGGTTGGGGGGGGGGGGGAGGCAAAAGACAGAAAAGGGAATTCAATCATTATGGGCACTTACCTATCAAAACCATGGAGCAAAACAATTGGACTACTTTCTTTCTTCAAATATGGCTTTACACAGCTACTCATAATACAATGCTCTGTGAAGCTAGTCTAAAACACGCAATAATTCAAGAATTCAATTAAAAAACACCATAAAATATTCAACTCACCTAGGAACAACCAATAACATTATAATAAAATAAAAACTAAACTACCCACAAAGAGGCTAGGAAAAACGAAAAACCCAACAATGTTACTCTCTATTTTTGCAAAGAAAACCAGTCCTTTGACACCACAATCTCTGTTATCCAGCATATATTCTCTTGTAATAAGGTTTCACATAATAACCATAAACTTTAATACCAATCCATCTTCAAACTGCACAGAAATTACACAAATAGCTATTTTCTTCACCATCATATAGCAAAATGCACTGCATTCTCTGAAAATTCATGTATATGCAAAAAACAATAGAAACTGAGAAGATTACAAGAATCCATATTTCATACATAGAAATTATGCAGTGTATAAAATGCATACTATCCTTTTCTTATCGTAAAATACATAGGCAATGGAAGATGCTCATGTACAAAGGCTGCCAATGCATGAATGGAGCTAATGAATTGTAATTGAAAGGAAAAAAGGAAGAACATGAAAGCTAAGGAGTTGTATAAAAAGTACACAGCATGCGAATGTAAACATGTAAAAAGTCTTGAACCTTAACCGGGAGCCTGACTATTCTCTTGGCCATTTTTATGGCAGCTGAGTCTCTAATGGTTTGAACTTCTTTGGGGAGAAATGTGGGGAAATCAAGCCCCTCCTGCCATGAATTTTGGCAGTTCATTACTCTTGGAGGTAACCGAAGTGAAACAAACATCCTGAAACTGAAAACCTCTCTCTCTCTCTCTCTCTCTCTCTGTATGTTACACAGAGTGAGAGAAAGGTTGCTACTGATTTAAGTTAAAGAGAGAGTATCAAGGAATGGAGAGAGAGAGAGGAGAGAAAGAGGGGATATCAAGCAGAGAAATGGAAGCAAGCCAGAGAGAGCAGTTTTTTTTAAAATAAAATAAAATAAAGAAGTTAGCGTTTACAAATAAACCCCAACAACACGCTTTTGTCCAATCAGGCCAATCCAACATTTTCTCTCATTTTTTTTATCAAAGGAAACTTTCTCAGCGAAAACCCCTAAATATAAAAAGCATTTTTTTTTTGACAAAACTACCCTTTCCGTACAAAAAAAATTATTTTTGGCCGGACATTTACGTGGCATATGTACAATACAAAAAGCCATATGGGCTACCGGACTGCCATGAAACCATTGCCGAACCTCGTTAAACTAAAAAACATGTGAGATCACATGCATTCTCTGTCGGATTGCATTGTGTCGAAGAAAAATGTATCGAATCACTTGTTTAATTTGCCGGACCGCACTTTGTCTAAAAAAAAAAGTGCCGGAGCATGTGCCTGTTCTGTCAGACCGCACTTTTATCCCGATATAGCAGTGCCGAACCGCACTTTTGTCTAAAAAAAAAAGTGTCGGAGCATGTGCCTGTTTTGTGGGACCACAGTTTTATCTCGAAACAGCAGTGCCGAACCGCACTTTTGTCTAGAAAAAAAGCGCCAGAGCATGTGCCTGTTTTGTGGGACCGCACTCTTATCCTGAAATAGCAGTGCCGAACCGCACTTTTATCTAGAAAAAAAAGTGTCGGAGCATGTGCCTGTTATGTGACCGCACTTTTATCCCGAAACAATAGTGCCCGAATCGCTTATTCAATTTGCCGGATCACGGTTTTGACAAGAACGAAAGTGTTGGACCGCATGTCCGTTCTGCCAAATGGCAATTTTGACCATAACTAAAAGTATCGAACCACTAGTTTTGATTACCGAACCGCAATTTTAACTATAGTTTTGACTAAATGAGAGAAAGAGGAGAAAAAAACACAAGTAAAAGGGTTAGGATAGTTTTGTCTTTTTTTTGTTTTTGTATTTGTATTGGGGGGTATTTGTTAAGCTAAGCTCTCTTTGGGGTATAAAATGAGAGAAACAGTTTGGCTTGGGGGTAAGTCGGATAAGACGTGTTCCCTTGGTTTTTTTCAATTTTCCCTCTAATAAAAAAGCCGAATTTCTTCATTCTCGTGGTTTATATACGACCATATCAAACATATGCTCTTGAGGCTCATCGCAGTTGGCATGGTACGGTTAATTACTGGCAGTTGGCATGCGGACGCCTAGGTCGGTTTCAAGGTGCTTTCTTTTTCAAATTTTATCACTGTACTTGATTTTGATGTAAAATGTTATTAGGGTTATCTCCAAATCTATTTTTATATTTAATTATAAAATTTTAAATTAAAAAAATAATTAAAATCAAGTAAGTTTATAAACATATAAACTTGAAAATAGATTGTGTAGATAATATGTTGTAAAATGTACTGGCTTAAATTTTTTTTATTTTTTTAGTCATATATCTCGATAATGAGATGATCAACCAAAATGCTTTTCAATATTAAAACTATTTTTTTCCGATGGATTTTCTTAAAAAGGAGCATTACTAATTCTACATTATAAAGTTGCGTTCTTATATAAACTTTTTTCTTAATTAAAGGGAGACAACGCAATAAATCCAATTTCACGCTCAACTCTGTCGGCATGACCATCCGATCCCTCCAATTTCTACATGAAAAAGAAACTTCAATAATTGATGCTGTTACATCTTAGAGAGAAAAACACACACTATTTCTTCCTTGGATTAATTAATGTTATTGCATCTTAGAGAGAGAGAGATTTTGAGTATTCTTCATAGGACAAAACCAAAACCATACTCTCATTTTTTATTTTTTTAAAAAAAGGTGACGTTGTTACCTCTTGGAGAGATAGATTGAGTATCAAGGAATGGAAGAGAGAGAGAGTGAGGGGGTTACCAAGGAGAGAAATGGACGCAAGAGAAAGAGCAGTTCTTTTAAACAATAAAATAAACTTCAAATGCAAAATTACAAATAATTTTAAAAAATATACTTTTTATGCAACTTACCGCAATCTATTTTTTTCCCTCATTTCTTTTTCCAAAATATATTTGTTAGCAAATACCCCCCTAATGCAAAGGTATATTTTTTTGCCCCTTTTTATAAAAAATTTAATTTTGGTCGGACATACATTAACGTAGACATATGTATAGTACCAAACATGGGTTGTGAGACTGTCATGAACCCATTGTTGGATCTCATTTAATTAAAATATATGCCGGATCGCGTTCATTCTCGTTGGGTTGGGAATAAATTGAATTGGAAGTGTATCCTTGTTGTTCTTTTTTTTTTTTATAAAAAAAAGCCAAAATTTTTCATTCTCATGATATCTATACGACCACATCAAAAATATGATCTTGAGGCTCACCACAGCACGATTAATTAAAGGGGCGGCGACGCAGTGAATCCGTCAAAGGAAACCGAAGCAATCGCACGCTCTACTCTATCTACATGACCATCCGATCATTTATTGGACGATAAAAACCTTATGACCACGTAATTGATGTGATGAAATGGATGGTACTCATGGGGTACTTTCACAAGTCAGATTCTCATGGTTTTTTTGGCATGTACTGTTACTGCAGACATCTTCACATTGATCTCGTGCCCTCCAATTTACATGGAAAAGAAACTTCAATAATTGATGCTCTTACATCTTAGACAGAGAAAAAAAAACACACACTCTTGTTCCCTTCGACTAATTAGTGTTCTTGTATGATGAAGAGATTCCTCACATGATGAATTAACACACACTCTTGCTTCCTTGGATTAATTAATGTTATTGCATCCTAGAGAGAGAGAGAAATTTCCATTATTCTTTATTGGACAAAACCATACTCCGTTTTTTTTTTAAAAAAAATCGGTGATGTTACATCTTGGAGAGATATTGAGTATTTCTTAACAGCATTTATGCATTTGTATTGGTAAAAAAGTTTTATGATCCTCTATTTCATTTTATCTCGATGACAAATTTGTTTGGAGAAGTTAGATCATGAAAATAGGGATATTGGTATTCTATTTTGTTTATTTACAAGAAAAGTTTTTCTCTCTCTCCTTATTTTGCCTCATTTCACCTACCCTTTTGACCGATGATGATTCTGAAAAAATAGATAAATAAATTGTTTCATTTACTTGGGATATTCATTTAATGATCTGCACCATTTTGGTGCTACCATCATTCTTTTGGCTACCTAGGATTTTGAACAGAAAGATAAGAGATACAGCATTCCAAAAATATAATAAGGGACAAAATAGATGTGGCATCACATTTTATGGTACAATGGGAACAAAGAGATGATACCAATTATAAAAATTATGGTCATCAATTGTCATCGACAGAAAATTATAAAAAACCCTAATACCACATTTTTATGTAACTTACCCCAACTGAATTTTTTTTCTCTCTTTTTTTCTCAATACAAACTTTTGATGAAAATATCTGTAAGGAAAAAAGTTCATTTTTTTTGACAGAAATGCCCTTCTTGTACATAAAAATCATTTTGGCCAGGTTTGACGTTGATTTTTAAACCCCAGTAGCATATTGTTGGAGCGCACCATCACATTATCATAGCACACAAGTGCCGGACTACCCTAAAACAACTATCAGACCAGAACTGAGTACTGTCGGGCCGCCCTTTATACAGTGCCAAAGTCACCAAATCCAATAACACAGGACTGCTGTCGGACTGTCCTTTGCAACTGTCAGACCGCACTTTATACAACGTCGAAGCCCTACTGCCAGACTAGACTTTACACAGTGTCGGAGCCCTACTGTCATACCACACTTTACACGATGCCGCAACACTACTACTGAACCGCACTTATACAGAGAGGATAGTTTAGGTAGTTTTTTATTTTTTTTATTTTGTTGGGGGTATTTACATAGAAAGTGTATTTTGAGGAAAAATAAAGTGAGAAAAAAAAGTTAGGTTATAAGATAAATTATATAAAAAGTATAATATGGGGTTTTTTATAATTTTCAAAAAAATATAAATTCCAAATAGGCCATAGATATTGGACAGTTCTTTATTGGTAGCATGTGGTGATGCACCTGTACATGTACCACAAATACTTTTTTTTCTTGGAATGTTGCCGGTAAGTTTGTATTAATATAAGGAGACAAACAATTGAAAAGAGGATAAATAAGCAAAGAATCCCTATTTAAAAGAAAGACGCTCCAAAACGCAAATAATCATTAAACCTCAAAGACCTATCTATCTACCGACAAGCTTAGAGGCCTCAATCACCACTTGAAGCAAGCATGGCTTATTTCTTTCTGATCCTTAAGCCCAAGCCCATTAATTCAATACCACTCCAAGCACCATCCCTTAAAAAAAAACACACTTGTTTGGGTCGGCCCGACACCCAAACAACGCCCAGATAGCTAAGTTTGGTGGCAGCATTTAGAGGGAAACCAACAACCAAAATAGGGTTCAAACGACGGGTGCGGTTTTTATAAGGTTGCAATTTTAAACAATTCAATTAAGACGCATTTTAAAATTTTATCATATAATTTTGTTTTAATATATTTTTAGTATTATCTTAAAATCTATTTTCATATTTAATTAAAAAATTTAAAATTTTTAAAAAGGTTAAAATAAAGTAGATCTATAAATATAAATATATGAAAATCTTGAAACTGAACGGACTAAATAATGTGTTGCAAGATGCGCTATTTTTAATACCCAAAAACTTTTTTTTTTTTTATTATTAAAACTTCCTTTTTTTTTTATTTATATTCATACATGTCAATGAATGATTAGAAGGTTTTTTCAACATTGAAACTAACATTTCCGATGGATTTTTGAGGTGCAGTTCCAACCCTATATAAACTTTTCCCTTAAAAGATAGGGCAAAAGAGGAGAAGGTGGGAGTGTAGCAACAAAGAGAATGAGGTTAGAAATGGAGATCTTACTCCTAAAAGGAGCACAATCCTCACTTCGGCTACCATTTTTTTTTGAACTTTTATCGTGGACAAAAAAACTGTCGTGTGTGCTGTGAGCACCTGCTGCCATTTTTAGTGCACCTTGTGGTTTTGTACACTTTGTATTTCACGAGTCAACCAGTTTCAAAGTAAAGAAGAGAGAGAGAGAAAGAGAGCGTCACTCTCGCTGCAAGAGCAAGAATGCTCAGAACAATACACAGAACATGTAGGCGCTGCCTCCCCACCGTCCCCTTCTCCACTCTATCTCATCCCCTTTTCATAGAAAATACCAAGAAGGAAGACCAACACGAGGACCCTTTCTCTCTCATGAAAGCAGACCCAATTGAGTTATGCTCCCAACTTTGGGTCTCTTCCTTCTCCAATCCCAACAAAACCCTCTCAAATCTCACTGGTTTTCTTAGGAAATTCGATCTCTGGATCCTCGCATATCAGAGGGCTCATGCTGATGAAGTGGGTTCATTCCCGCCTCGCAATGCCATCCATTTTTCCACCCTTAAAGACCTTCTTTCTCTAAGAAACGCTGTTTTGCACTCACAGTATTTGTGGGGCATGAAAATCCGCCATGTATATATTCAATCACCCAGGGAGAGAGAACTGATGAGACCCATTTCAAGGAGAAGGCTAAAGCTGTTGTTGGACTCTGATAAGACCCCATTTCAAGATAGTATTGTTCAAGAAGTTTTGCATATGATCTTGGAACCATTCTTTGAGCCTAGATTTTCTCAGAAATCGTATGCTTTTAGACCAGGCCGAAATGCTCATACCGTTATAAGAGTCATTAGGAGTAATTTTGCAGGATATTTGTGGTTTTTGAAAGGGGATTTGAGCTCTGTTTTCAATAGAATTGAGATAGATGCTTTGGTGGATTGTTTGACAAAGGCGGTTAAGGATCGAAAAGTGATAAGCCTGATAAGATCTGCATTAAAAACTCCTGTTAAAACTGTGAATGAAGAGGATGATAGTAAAAAGTCAAGTATAAGGAAGAAGAGAGAGAAGAAGAAGAAGAAGAAGAAGAAAGGTACAAGTAAGAAGATATTGGATGAGAATGAGCCAAAACCCGACCCTTACTGGTTAAGGACCTTCTTTGGCTTTGCGCCAGAGGAGGCAGCCAAGGTACCCACATGGGGTCATTGTGGAATTCTTGGCCCATTGATTGCTAATATATGTCTCAATGAATTGGATTTCTGGATGGAAAACAAAATTTCGTGTTATTTTCAACCTTCAAGGTGTGATTCTATTTGGAAGAATTCGATAGAGGATGGTAGCCATAATCCTTCATGGCCAGAGTTTGTTCCCACCAGTGGCCCTGAGAAAACAAAGAAAATGGACTATATTCGATATGGGGCGCACATATTAATTGGTATCAGGGGCCCTAGAGAAGATGCCTTAGAAATTAGGAAGCAAATAATGGAATTTTGTGAGAAGGTTTATGGGGTAATGATCGATAACTCGAGCTTAGAAATTGAACATATAACCAGGGGAATTCAATTCTTGGATCACATAATATGTCAAAGAGTAATATACCCCACACTTAGGTATACATCCACTGGTGGGAAGGTTGTTAGTGAGAAAGGGGTTGGTACTTTGTTATCTGTCACTGCAAGCTTACCACAATGTATACGTCAGTTTCGCAAACTTGAATTCGTCAAGGGAGATAGAGACCCCGAGCCATTGCCTTGTACTCCTATGCTCTATGCGAGCCAAGCCCACACCAATTCTCAAATGAATAAGTTTCTTGAAACCATGGCAGATTGGTATCGTTATGCTGATAATCGCAAGAAAGTGGTGGGTTTTTGTGCTTATGTCATTCGAAGCTCTCTAGCCAAGCTTTATGCTGCAAGGTACAGGCTGAGGTCTCGTGCAAAGGTTTACAAGCTTGCTTCTCGAGATCTCAGCCGTCCATTGAAAGAGACAAGTGGAGAGGCTCCAGAATATACTGATCTCTTGAGGATGGGACTTGTGGATGCCATTGATGGTGTTCAGTTTGTTCACATGTCATCGATACCCACTTGTGATTACACCCCATTTCCTACGAATTGGATTCCAGATCATGAGCGTTTGTTACATGAATATACAATGTTACAGAGCCCTAAATACTTTTGTCACTTGCGTAGATCAATAAAACAGCAGGGCGTAAGAGTGCCCCAAGAAGACCTAGCTAGACTTGTTTGGGAGTGGAAGGTTAAAGCGACTCTAAGTGGACAAAGCTCGAAAGTTGGTAAACAATCTCCTGAAATTTCTGAGGTAGTTGACATATGCCGAAGTGGGATTAACCATTTAGATGATTCTTCTTGTGGGTGAGATGGAGTCTGATTTTGTTTGAGAATGCTAGAATAGACCATTTAAATATTCCATTGGGCAGAAGATCGTCAATATTTATGGAAAAAAAGGCATTGGAAAGAAGGAGCTCATAGTATTTATTAAAGGAAAAGCATTGGAAAGGAGGAGCTTATTTTAGCATCTGTGGAAGCAAGCCATGGAAGGCTGGTTATATGATGTGAACAAGTGTTTATTTGGTGCTGATTCATTTAGTTGTAACAAAGTAAATAACATACAACATATGATTGTTATTGCCCCTTCTCTTTCTTTGATCAACATGTTTTATAATTTTAAACAGATTTTGTTTTTTCTTTTCCCTTATGGATATTAGTATAAGCCAAAAGGAGATTTGCTTATCCAAATTGCACGCAAGTTTTAATAATATGGCATAAATTAGTAGGGCTATGCTTATTTATGTCTGTTCATAGTCATTGTAGTCGTTGCTCAAGGATATCTTTTGTTATTTTCTATTTTATGCTGCTCAGGTGTTACCACACATGTTATCAACAGATACTCTCATCATGTTTTTCATGAGTTGCTCATCTCTCCAGTTGCCATACCTAGTGGAAACTGGGTTGCTATTTAATATGTCAAGTTTGCTGCTAAAGAATGCATATTATCCAGGATACAAAACATTCCATTAGCAATTAATAGAAGGTTAATGTTTCACTTTGCTCATTATACCCTAACACATGGGTTTATTTCACCGTTCACCGTTATATATTGAATCTAAATTTTCTTTTCCAAGTAGAGTGTTCCTTGTGTCAGGCAAACAGCTGAGTTATACTAGCATTGGACCTAATGAAATGCTTCCCTTCCCAGGGCTTCTTTGATAACTATGCTCTCTTGATCTAGCTGATAGGCGTGCATAGCCTAAAATTGAAGTGATTGATTAATGAGCCAAAAGGTAGTTGTTAAAGGGTAGCGTAACGAAGGACCGATCATTGAGAGGCTTGTCAGTCTTTCTAGGGTGTAGCGGTAGCCAATTAGACTGTACTCTCTAAGACTCCAGTGCATGTTTTATTTAGTAGCCATGTGTAGAGATTTGGACAATTCATCTCTGGTTTATGAGGATGATAACCTTTGTTTTACATGGTAAAGCATACCCTATAGTAATCTATGGTTGCCTTTTGTTACGATTCGTTGCGTTCTATTTTTTATATTCGTGCTCTGGTTAATTCATTTATTTTGAGGGCCTTTACATTTATTTATATTATTTTATGTAGGGCTATGCTTATTTATGTCTGTTCATAGTCATTGTAGTCTTTACTCAAGGATATCTTTTGTTAGTTTCTATTTTATGCTGCTCAGGTGTTACCACACATGTTATCAACAGATACTCTCATCATGTTTTTCATGAGTTGCTCATCTCTCCAGTTGCCATACCTAGTGGAAACTGGGTTGCTATTTAATATGTCAAGTTTGCTGCTAAAGAATGCATATTATCCAGGATACAAAACATTCAATTAGCAATTAATAGAAGGTTAATATTTCACTTTGCTCATTATGCCCTAACACATGGGTTTATTTCACCGTTCGCCATTATATATTGAATCTAAATTTTCATTTCCAAGTACAGTGTTTCTTGTGTCAGGCAAACAGGTGAGTTATACTAGCATTGGACCTAATGAAATGCTTCCCTTCCCAGGGCTTCTTTGATAACTATGCTCTCTTGATCTAGCTGATAGGCTTGCATAGCCTAAAATTGAATTGATTGATTAATGAGCCAAAAGGTAGTTGTTAAAGGGTAGCGTAACGAAGGACCGATCATTGAGAGGCTTGTCAGTCTTTCTAGGGTGTAGCAGTAGCCAATTAGACTGTACTCTCTAAGACTCCAGTGCATGTTTTATTTAGTAGCCATGTGTAGAGATTTGGACAATTCATCTCTGGTTTATGAGGATGATAACCTTTTGTTTTACATGGTAAAGCATACCCTATAGTAATCTATGGTTGCCTTTTGTTACGATTCGTTGCGTTCTATTTTTTATATTCGTGCTCTGGTTAATTCATTTATTTTGAGGGCATTTACATTTATTTATATTATTTTATGTAGGGCTACGCTTATTTATGTCTGTTCATAGTCATTGTAGTCTTTACTCAAGGATATCTTTTGTTAGTTTCTATTTTATGCTGCTCAGGTGTTACCACACATGTTATCAACAGATACTCTCATCATGTTTTTCATGAGTTGCTCATCTCTCCAGTTGCCATACCTAGTGGAAACTGGGTTGCTATTTAATATGTCAAGTTTGCTGCTAAAGAATGCATATTATCCAGGATACAAAACATTCAATTAGCAATTAATAGAAGGTTAATATTTCACTTTGCTCATTATGCCCTAACACATGGGTTTATTTCACCGTTCACCATTATATATTGAATCTAAATTTTCATTTCCAAGTACAGTGTTTCTTGTGTCAGGCAAACAGGTGAGTTATACTAGCATTGGACCTAATGAAATGCTTCCCTTCCCAGGGCTTCTTTGATAACTATGCTCTCTTGATCTAGCTGATAGGCGTGCATAGCCTAAAATTGAATTGATTGATTAATGAGCCAAAAGGTAGTTGTTAAAGGGTAGCGTAACGAAGGACCGATCATTGAGAGGCGTGTCAGTCTTTCTAGGGTGTAGCGGTAGCCAATTAGACTGTACTCTCTAAGGCTCCAGTGCATGTTTTATTTAGTAGCCATGTGTAGAGATTTGGACAATTCATCTCTAGTTTATGAGGATGATAACCTTTTGTTTTACATGGTAAAGCATACCCTATAGTGATCTATGGTTGCCTTTTGTTACGATTCGTTGCGTTCTATTTTTTATATTCGTGCTCTAGTTAATTCATTTATTTTGAGGGCATTTACATTTATTTATATTATTTTATGTAGCATAACAATGGGTCGAGAATGGGGTTGGGGTTGGGGTCGTGGTGGTAGCACCTCCTAAGCCCCAGCTAAGGTCTAGGCTTCTACTCTCACCTAACATATTGAGAAACAACTAACTTATTCAAGAACAGGTAGGGGCTCGTTATCCCCTCTGAATCCCCCCCCCAAAAAAAATGCATGGGGGCAGGAGTGATAGACATATGCTTGAGACTTTAAATGGTATTCTTGTTCAGATGTATATCAGTCTTGTATTGCGTGTATGTATTTTCCTAATTACCTTTGAATAGTATTCTTGTTAAGATATATATCAGTCTTGTGTTGAGTCTGTGTATTTTCTAATTGTACATGCGTATTTATGTACTTTGTACAAACTAGCCATCTGTTCTTATGGAATTAATCAATTAGGATTCTGTCTAAGTTTCTATTATTCTATCATGGAATCATAGCTGGGTTAATGGACATCATTGCATTCAGTGATCAAGCTGGTTCTCAAAGTCAAGTGAAGCACTTATGATTATGATGTCAAATTGAAGATTTCAGTCCTGTATATGGGCCAGATCCTATATGACCAATATAAGGGTTAACTTTCTGAGGTATATCGTTAACATGGCTAACATTGTTCCACATAATAGCATTGAACAAAAATTGTTTATCAGTTTGAAATTTCATCTCTATGGTATTTCTATCGCTATAAATGTAGAAAAGATGGAATGGGGGACTTGAACTGATATTCAAAGGGGAATTGCCATTTCAGCATATATTTTATTTGAGGATTGCTATGCTAGTTCAAAGCTTAATGATGGTTAATTTTGTTGGAGATGAAAGGTCAAGTTTGATGATGTGGAAATATAAATAATTTTGTAATAATAAAGTGAAATCTAGGATGTTCGTTATAGTTTGAATTTTGTAATTTACATGAAAAGTAATAAAGTTGGAGAAGTTGGCAAAGAGAAATAAAATTACAAATTTGATGGCAATTTCTCCAATCACTTTTGGTCAATGTGGAATCAATGTGATGTCGACGATTATCATACTGAAGACCTGTAATATCTAGGGCAGGAGCAATCATTAAATAGAAGAACAAAGCAAGAATTTGAATGGAAATCGAGGAAGTTACCTACAATTTTTGTGATTTATGAATCTCTTTGAGAAATAATGGAGGTAAGAGGCTGTTTAACATCTTCATTAAATGCTAATTTGGGTTATGCGTTTTGACCTAGAACAGTGCTTTGGGCTGTTGCACTTAAGCAGTGAGAGCCATTCGAGATACTGGTAAATGTCCCTTTTATGGTATATTTGATGGGATTTTGCCTCTCTCTTTGTTTGTGCTGAAGCCACCAGGCATGTTCCATACTCCACAACACTCGTTGCTCTTCGAGATGAATTAGAATATTCTTTACAGTGTTTCAAAAAGCAGTCTGCCCAGCGGGTAGGTGGTCCATGGGGCTTGGGAGCATCACTTAGGCCTAGGTACCAAAAAGAGGCGGAAAACTGGGTGCCTACCTAAGCGCCCAGGAACCGGGCACCGGGCGGTCGCCTAGGGACTCGCCCCTCTCAAAGGCAGAAAAGCCACTCGGTAGAGGCATTCAGGGACTCGCCCCGCCCAGAGGCAGAAAAGCCACTACGTAGGGGCATTTTGTGTCATTTGTTTTTTATACTAAAGGACCAAAAATGTGGGTTTTAAGTTCATTTGAAACCTAAAACTCATTAGAGCCCATTTTAGAGTGAGAAAACCCCCAAAAAATTAGTTTTTGGTGATTTCTCTAATATCGAAGGGTTTTTCAAAGTTATGATAAATTGATCAAAACATCACCCATTGATATTAGATTTAATTTTTATGTTTTATAAATCTATTGGAGGGTTTTTAGAATATTTTAAGTCCTTAGAAGCATCTTTGATGTGGAAGTTTGGAGATTGAACAATCAAAGTAAGTGATTGTTGTTTATTGCTTGTATAAGTTGTAGGGGATCTCATAGGAGTAGTGATCCCGGTTGGAAATATGGCTACAACGCAGATCGTAATGCTAAAAATTGTATAAGATGCATGTT